TACCTTATAAGTATCGCTTCCTATCTTCGGTAGTCCATTTGATAAAAACTCCCGGATAAGAACTAATCCTCCGTCGGGTCAGGTCGTTACTGGATCAAATGGGCTACCGAAGAAGGAAAGCGCTATAGGTTCCTTACTATTACTTAGCTTACTCCTTATTTACTCCGAAAAATTACAGATGTAGGAAGGCCCTATTTTTTAGGTTTTCCGAATTTTCTTTTTTTCTAGATTTTCGCCCTTCCCTATGATAGCATCTGTAGTTGACTCTTCATGCACGCCTTCAGGAATGTGAACTGTTGGATCTCTCAGAAGGCTGTCATGAATCCTCTGCCTCATGAGCGTATTAACCGAGCAGGAAAGTATCAAAGGATGATCTCACAGTATGTACTGTACACACACAGGTTTATGTAAGCTGTTTGTTTACGGATAACAAGGAAATAATGATGAGCAACGATTAAACATAGCTATGGCTAGGAACATAACATACCCGTGGTGGAAACCACAGAAAAATTGTACGGATAACAAAAAATAAGTTCACAAAAAAGTGGTATCGTTTCACAAGTGGTTGCTAAGGGGAAATGTAAGATCAGAACGTGGATTGGACTCGAATATTATGATCGGTTACGTTTCTGATCACAAATGATTATAATAAGGATTTACACCATTACAAAGATAAAAAGGATCTTCTCAAACTCGCTTACGGTGGGCGCACATGTGAGAGTTGACCGAAATGGTAGTCCGATTCATTCCGAAATCGGGTAATCGCAAGTGTAAAGTTCAGTTCGATCAGTCAATAGCGATCAACCCACATATGCTATACCGTTCGAATAGAATCGATTCGTTGTAGACCGCAAAACTGGATCTATACTTCCTGCAGAGTAATGGTTTGCAAAGGAAAATTTGACCATGAAGTAAATTATACTAAGCTGGGTAAGTGCTCCAAAGGCTTAAAATCCTGATTTCGTCTGAGTTCTCGCCTACGGGAGGAGATTAGAATACTTTGATCAGTTCTGCGTCAATAATCCAAATAATCCCAGTAAAAAGAAGAGAAAAAACTTCGAAGAACAAACAAACTTCACGAATTTCTATCTCAGACACTACCCACATTCGGAAAAGTGACTTGGTCGAACTCAAAATTTTTTCTTTCGTTCACTCCAAATTTTAGGACTTGTAAAATAGCTACCCTGAATGTTACAAAGCGGAAAAGTCCCGAATCCCTGGCTCACGAACCTAAATTTACGAACGTGGAATTTTGTGAGAAGACGAAGAAATTTTCATGAAATCAGATGATCAGCACAGTATTTGGTCATTCGGTGAAAAAAATGGTAGTCTCGAAACTCAGAAAGAAGAATGACGGCCGACAGAGGTTATTCCGGTAAGGTTCAGGTAAAAAATCACTAGTATGAATAAACCGAGTCCTATTCGGGGAAGGTTACGGGCAGAGTTGTAACTTTTTTTTGCATCCTGGTTGTGAAAAGCTCCTGGAACTAGGCGGATCCAGTGAACTTTTGTATTCCGTCAGAAGCTTATTCAACGGAAATGTCTCGAAAGAAAATCAAGAATGTCATTAAATTCTCACTGTTAGCAGACAAAACATCCAGGTGGTGGTAGATGACTAACAATTCTGCCTGATAGGAAAGGACTGCTTGTACGAAATTTACATTAGCAATCCCTAAAAAAAGTATGGGCCCTCTACTTGCAGACTTCTGAGATTTTGAAGTTTCTTCGGGTTTCGATCTGTCCTCTGTCCCATTTCGGGTTGCTCCCACGGGTCCGTCTTCCACTGCAAATTGTAGTGTCGTTTGGATGGGTGATTGCGTATGTATAACTGAATAAATTACTTTTTAGAGAGTTTGTGCCGGAAATTCGTTTAAGATTTTTTGGAATGTTTTGCAAGTTCCCACGGAATTGATATATAAGGACACTACACCTTTGTATGCGCACGACATATCCGGCCCCCTCTGCTTATTTCGTTTGATGCCTAATGGCCAAAACGTCTCCCTATATTCGACACGTATTTCTTCACGAGTTCTAGTCTGGCCACTCTACTTATGGCCCATAATTGAAGTTGCAGTTCACAGAAAGTGCTGTCATGTATTTGGCCTCGAAGCCTCTCCTGAACCGTTCTGTGCACAACTCGTTCATATCTTTCGAAGCCAAAAATTAGAACGTTTGAAATGAGCTTCGATGTGGTCAGCAGACTGTGATAGATGGCCGACTCAATGTACTCCACCTGAGTGACGACGAATTATGTGCTACCTTCACAGCTGTTGGGTGGGTCGTGTGGCCTTAAGGTACCCAACTAGTCAGCTCCGCGTAGACTTTGACAAGCTCCCGTATGGGATCCAGAAAAAGCCAGTGTATATATGGTAGCTTGTCGGGTATTCATCCTAACCACCAGATTGTTCTATGAGCTGGTTCCCTCTGATTACAACCTATTAGGTCTTCCCCTGAAAGTTACCATCCTTTTGTGGATTCCTAGGTGATCTCAATCCACCACACCATCTTTGCCAATTCCGTCCCTTCCTCTTGAAATGCTATCTCCGAGATGTTGTCAGGGCTAACTCAGAATGTCTAAGGGGGCGAACGATAGAGATTTGCAAACGAACTCTTTTGGATTGGAGTTTCCGGCACACAAGCCTGCCGGCCCCTATTAAGCACCCACGTTCGACTTTTACTTGGGCTTGGCATAGTAGTAATTTGTAAGCTGTTCTTCTCTGAGCCTCGGCCAGGATGTTATAATTTTTTATTCGGCTAACGTTTCGGCCAGTCGCCCTTTTCAGCTTCCAGGCTCTGATGAGTTGGGTCGATTGCATGGTCGAACTTTCAACCGCGATTGCAACGTTCCAGACCTCTTTTCACCGTAGTAATGCTAATTCATAGCAACTGAAATTCCTCAGAATTGAAGTTTATTTGCAGTCGACTTGATCTTCTAATTAATTCCCAGGTGACTTGCATTCTTGAGTCATCAGAAGAGATTGGACCTAATGAACTTGACATCGAACGGTGTAGTAAAGGGTGAGTCAATAGGTCCGGTTTTTGGCTGAACGAATATGCTGATTAACCGAGTATGCACTCCACAGTGACCCCAGATGATAATTGGCCTATTCTTTCAAATTTGTGATTAATGTTAATAAACCGTTAAAACTGTTAATAAACTGCACCATCAAATAGAAATTTGTGGACACCGGAAATCCTTCAGTAAAAAGTTTATATTATGGCATTTATTCCAACAAATTATTGGTCCTTCAAACAATAGACGAATGAATATTTGAGAGTTTATTACCACCGTATCATCGCATTCAAAAAAAGAATTAGGATAAACGATTCAATAAAAAAAAAAGTCTTACAGAACAAAAGGAGAGTAAACGCCCGAAGGGCAGCACTGTGCAATCAGGTTCAGAACTACGCGACCAGCGGATCACTTTCAGCACAAAACATTGAGAATCCAAGTTGCTTCTATACAAAGAGAAAGTGCTGGTTGATAACGATTAAATAAAATTTCGCTCGTACAACCGTAATTGTCCACACAAACAAACAAAAATAATACGTTTAACGGTCACTAAAAGTGTCTTTATGTATCACAGGTTATGTGGCATTTGCACGTTCAATATAGAAGATTCTTAAAGAAACAATGAACGAATATAAAATGTGCATTTCTTTTTAGAAATAATTAAAATTATGCTCACAGCGAACAATACTAAAACACTCTGTATTTTATAAAGTATAGATAAAAAGCGAACACACACGCACAAAAACAAAAAGAAATTAAAAAAAAAGAATCGCCGCTCTTTCTTTTAATGCAACCGCATCGGAGATCACCAAAGATGCTGAAGGAAAAATTTGAACATAACGACACCCTACTATGGCTGGGTAGTCACGAAAGAAGCGGCGCATACACGCATTTCATCAAGCAGACCTGGGTCAGAGAAATGACCGAAGCACACAGTTAGGCGAGGCGATAGGTAGACGGCTTCAAGTCCAAAAATTAGTTGGACGATTGGCGGCGCCAGACCGACTGAATGTTCAGCCATCCCTCGAAGGATAATTGAGAATAACGATAGAAGATTCTGGCAAAGATGATGCCAACCTAGTAAGATTGATTAGTAAATTGTAACGAAATCGACCAAATTATCAGACTTACCTAATGTGCTACGGGGAGATCCGAATGCGGAGTCCCATTCCCCATCAGCTCTCGGAGTTTCTTCACCTCGTTCGACAACTTTTGGTTGCTCGCTTCGAGCTGCCGCACGCGATCTGGAATAGGACGTTACAGGCGAGTATGGCTCAATGACTATTCTTCTGTAAGGAATGGCATTTTTTACATAATTATTTTATAAGGCATTACAAGTTTCTATTTCTTACTAGAGAGTTGTCATTCCAAAGACTGTCGAATAACATAATTCAGTGCCCGAAACAATTTAAAAAGCATTTATCATTGATGATATTAGAAAGGAATACTGTATTGAAGGAGATAGCTCTTACAGTTCCTTGATTAGTTTTCATCAACAGCTCACTTAAAAGCAGTTAAGGAAGGTTACAAAGGGTTATAAAGACGCTGAGAACAGTCAATAATATTGGCAAATCAACGGCGGGTTAACAGTCATAACCCTAGCCAGCAGTACCAGTACGCCAGTCGACTTCAATGGGGACTTCAGAGAGTCCGATTCAATTGGCACCTTCTCTTGCGACGACTACAAGCGAGATTATCTGGACTGCACTTGGAGTACCAGGCTCTTGGTAACAGCGATTAGGGAGGGAACTGAGCACAGAACCGGCTGAACACAACGTCTGTGCCCTGCTTGTGGACACAGTCGCTGTGTTCAGTGGGTATTGCACGCAAATACTGCTTCCTCGTCTGTACTTTAGGCAGAAAGAGGAATTTAGGGCACCCGCGATCATGTAACAGCCAGGGATAACCTGAGAAACAACGGGAACGTCAAGAAGGTTCTCATTTTGTCTCTAAGCTGAGACCACAGAAGTACAGAGGAGAAATGTCAGATAAATGACTGAATGGCATAGAAGAGATAGGCAAGCGAACCGTGACCATATCTACCGGATTGAAAGTTCATCATGGAGTGAGCTCAACATATGCTTAACACCTTATTTAGCTAACATTCAGTTGTAAATGTCTTCTTAAAGAATGAGATATGAAGAGTCCGAATTGCAGGACTCTCGTTGTCTGTTATATTTTTACAAGGATCGCATATTGCCCATGTGATGGATCGCAGTTTTCCACTATCCCAATACATATTCGATTGTCTATTCTGGTAAGGAGGAAGATTAGCGGTTCTTCTTGAAGTTGTCAGACGCCTCGAATTAGAGGAATTCTTATTGTTGTAAGACTAAACTAACGAGAGGAATTCTTACTATTGTAAGACTAAACTAACGGGTTGATTATCATACATATTCGCGTGACTTCCTATTGCAGGTGCTTTTGTATGGGTATTACTGCATACTACCAGAGCAAAATCGCAAAGTGTCTCATCAACAGTTTCGAGCAATCTAGGTTGTCACTGTTTGAGAAGCCGCTGTCGCGTTTGAAGTAAAGTGACTGTGTCTAGACTGGATGGTGTAGACTTAAAATTCGTTGAGTCACCCTATACACAGTTTAGGATTCCCGAAACCCAAGCGGTCAACTGACACAGTCACTTTACTCCTATTGCGTCTTCCTAGCTCGCACAACACTTAAAAATGGCAGCAAGGCAAGAGCCGCTGGACTATTCTCACTTTTTTTTGACTTGAAAGTCTCATTTTTGCTCACAAATCGGCATACTCGTGAATTCTTTATTTCTTTTCAGTCAGAGGTGAACTACTCATCCTCTCACTTCTGTACCTCACCTATCTCCCAATCGCACCCACCACGTTCGACCAAATACTCAACAAAAACGGAAAGACACCCGGCAATTTTAGTAAGTTGTAATCTCTGAAACTCCTTAGAGTAGATATGCAAGCATATAGACTTAGACAGGAATGAGTGAAAACCCTCCTAAAGAGGTAACAAATCAGTGTGTTCTACAATGCTAAAATGAAAACAAATGCAAGATGCGATCGGACTTACTCTAAAAAAANAAAAAAAGTAACGCCAGCAGGCTTATTTTAAAAAATGAAATTAAAAGAAATCTATATAATTGCAATCATTCAGAAGACATATTTGGGACAGCCTGTGTATGCACACCGGTCGCCAATAATAATGATGAGCAGGCAAACACCCCGTTATCTCAACATTTCCGTAGAAAACATTTGCTATGACGATTAAGAGTTATCAATACGTCCAAAAAACTAACGCTGCAATCTACAAAAGTGGCGTGCATAAGAGTGGAAAGGTTGAAACTAAGTTAGCACAGAATTCATCAAACAAACTACCATTTTGCATGTCGATTCCAAACAAACCACAAATCGAATTCATACTGGACAACTCACTCTTCAACTGACTATTCTCGTTGAAATATGCCTGGCAACGAGATTCCAACGTGTCCATGTATTCCTTTCGTTTGCGGCGAGATTCTTGGGCAGACAGCTGCAATACAGGTGTTATGCGTGGGACGTCATGCTATGCCAATAACGGTGAAAACTAAGCAATATAAAGCGCCACAAATGGCAATAAATATGAGGGTTGCTTTCGCTAACATTAGTTATCGATTGACGAAAATGGACGAAAAAGGTGTATTTATTATAAAACTGTTGTATGGGATCATCTATTCCTTCATGATGAACTTGGACAGAAAGTCATCGACTCAACGGAACCTCATGCTTGATGTCAAAATAGTCAAAAAGAAAGGCGCACCTTATTCTTGATTTTTCGTCGCACGATTTTAAGTGATTCTTCCTCCGCTTTCGAGAGAGGAAGCCGAGTGGGAACCTGAGCACATATTAACGTATTCACTGTCAGAACCACGATCAAATTGCGATGTTTGTTGTGGAGCAAAAATGCACAACAAGAAAGGAGCACACATAGAAATCACTAAATGTTACCGGATAGCCTTCTTGGAGTAGCGTTCGTCTTTCCTCTGCAGATAATTGAACAAGCCCTTGGCTGCGAGGATCCTAAAACAAATTGTAATAGTATATTGAATTTCATCGGAAGTCTCCATACACTGACCAATCGAAAAATTAAGAAATTTGTAAAGATCAGTTTCGTAGCAAAAAGGAATCGTTCTGCACGTTTCCAGAACATGATCAGATATAATCAAGATGGCAAACATCAAAATCCCTATATGAAGTTCAAAGCTGAGATGTCCCAATACTCAAAAAAAAGGCCACTTCCTTATTTAGAACAAGAACTCTAATTGAATGTGAAATGGTTGGAAAGTGTAAGCAATAAGAAAGTAACTTCGGAAGTCGTTAAATAGCAACAACGCTGTCTGACTCAAGCACACCTGGTCAGTGATGAGCCTCTGGCGAACTGCCATCTCATGCATTTTACTTCGCGATTTCAGCTGTTGCTGCGCTGCCGATAGACTACCCATCATACCTGCAAACGTCCAATTATGGAACCTACGTCATTCCGTCAGATGCTGGCGTTTATAACAGTCAACCGTACCTGGATTGCCGGTAAAAGGAGATGGGTTACAAGCGCCATACACCACATTGCTTATCATCATCCCATTTGCGGGAGAGCTACGCTCAGAAGTTGGTGGAGATGGAGTGCGATCCTCGATGGCTTAAATAATAAATTGATGCTTACCCGAAGCTAAAATTGGAAACCAAGATAATCTTCACTGTATTAAATGACGGAAGGCAACATACTATCGAAAAACGTTATAGTTTCCTGAGGTGTAATACTACTGAAAGGTGTCATGGAGGTCTGCACATGATGAACCGATGGGTTCGAGAATGTTTGCTGGTGAGTTTGTTGGTGTTGGCTACGTTGATCACGCTGCTGCTAAATGTTTTTACATTAACTCTTTGAAAGCCATGAGGTCGAAGAAAACGCAACACAAACCTCCTGATGAGGAGTCATTTGGTGTGAGAAATGGCTGACTGGTGGAAGTGGGCTATGCTGCTGAGTGATGGAACCAGAAGAGAGCATTTGCCCAAATGGACTGCTAAAAGTGGGAGCATGAGGTACACAAGCTTCACAATGAAAAATATCTTCAGCCCGTTTTCCCACGAAATTACATTGCATTTATTTCACAAAACACTTCTATAAAACATTTTTGTAGGTGTTTTTCGATAAAGACCTACTCTGATACGGTAGAATATCTCAACAAAACCGAATCATACTATAAACTTTGCTCTTTTACTGTTATAATTCACTTCATCCAAAAAGTCTCAGATAGCGACATATTTGAAGGTAAAGAGATTCAACAATAAGATATTTTTCCCTTCTCAATTCAACATATCGTAGATCCCCGCTAACCTTTTCGGAAAAAAAGCAGTGATGCAACAAGAAAATAACGTACCCACTGCTGCTGGTGGGACTTTGAAGAAACGGGTGGACATTGTTCCCAAAAGGCATGAAAGACAGGTCAACACCCAAATTGTCCTTCATATCAGGGCTGGAGAGTGAAGAAGACGGACTTCCGGATGTCGACCCGTGGTAATCTGGAAAAGAAAAAGATTTTTGTTAACAAAAGCGCTGAAACTAGGGATTAAAAAGTGGGTTGGTTTTTTCTTTTGGACAATTGATTGATGACTGGCCAATTCAACAATGGAAGAAGAAAAGGACCTCATGTTAGATGCGCAGCACGTTGCAATATTGTACAATCTAGTAGAACGCAAGTTTAACTGTGGTAATCACTGCATACAAGAATGTGTCTATCCGAGGCAGCTCATTCTTGCCATAGGCTCGAAAAGGGAGGGCAAACTTGAGGCAGATGGCGCTCATGCTATTTTTTTTTACATTGGAAAAGGATTTGGTCTAGCTCCAGGGTAACTTCTTGCGTCTCATCCTTGTTCTGGTCCTCAGTCCCAGGGATATCTACGAATTCTCGGGTCTCGCCTAAGATTTTGTAGATACCTTATAATCATCCATAGCAAATACTATGGAAATCAAGTTAAAGCGACATTAAAGGGACAAAATCGAGGGGATGGCTCACTGAGGGCTCGCTACCACTTCGTAGGCTGGCTCCTTCAACTCATTTGAGATTCAACAGCCATTCTGCACTCAGTGTTGATTCCTTCTTCGATACAGTCGACTGTTTTGTAAGGGAGAGGGGGGAGAGGGGACCTCGAATATTGTTGCAATGTTTCGGGAACTTCCTCTCAAGCCGTTCTTAACCAGATGATTCAACAACTGAGTTGCAAGCACAGAAGATTTGGAGTAATAAACACTCAATGCCAGTTGAAGTATCATTACTTGTTAGACACCTACTTGAAGAGGCAAAATTTCCGATACCGTTCTGAGGAGCAGAATTGAAGAAAAAGTACCGTCGATATGCGGCTGTGAATACCCTATGAAGCTCAACGTATGGTAGCTCAACGATTAAATGCATAAAACATCACAGTCACTTGATTCGTTCAAATGAAAACCAGCGACATTCAAGATGTTTGCACGTACACAACCTACACCTGATGGACTGCCTTCAACTGAAATCTGAAGTCAGTAAGTCTAAGCTGGTGATTTGATCGCGTAGCCGAAGGACCCGACTGTCTGGTGTGAGGTATAAAGTACGATAGAAGCAGTATTATCACCTGGACAGAGCCCACTTCTAGATGTCAAATGTTCAGCTCACTCCGAACGAGATTGCTCTGGACCTGTTGATGAAGTCTGACTTGGATTATTTAGCAGAGAGCAGCAGCAGTACGGGCCAACTGAAGAGAGCTGGTCAGGAGTGATGAGCAACGAAAACCCTGACGTCCGAGCAGAGTTTTAGAAATGTAACTACATTAAAATTGATCCCTTCTTTTTTGTTCTTAATGTTTATTTAGAAAATTCATCAATTCCTTTCTTTGACGCAATCTGAATGCACCATCGCACTTTTAACGAGTCTTTTTACAGAGAATTTCCTCGTGAATTCTTACAAATCATACCACCAATGTACATCGCAGCTATCGTAGCGCAAATCTTAGATCTATTCCTTCGCTGTATCCTTGTCGCCAATTAGAGAATCGTCCACATGACGAGCACACACGTACACACACATACGTACATACACTCACAGACACACCGAGAAAGGCGTATTCCAACAACAACTGAAACTCGTACACATCGGAACAGAATCGCTTGGCCAACGGTGGCATTTCCAAATCGATACTGTTGTACAGATATACAAAACAATTTTAATTCGCGTATGTTGCATGAGATGCATGAGAGACGTTATGCGATATAGTGATGACCGTTGGACCAGGGCGGTTACTGACTGGATCCCTCGGGACATCGAACGAACTCCAGGAAGGCAGTCAACGAGATTCTTCACGAAAGCTCTGTACGAAAGGAATGTTGAAGCTCGTGTTTCTGAAGCGAGGACAATCCACCAGACCACTCTGGCTCGTGACAGGGACGAATGGAGACCTTACTGGCGCCCTCTCGAGGAAGTCGATGATCAACGGGACGACAGGTGATACAGGTGATGTTGCATGAAGGAAATTTTGATGACTCTGACAGTTCAAAAGGCTCAAGAATGGAACTACTTTCAAGCATGAAAAGCTCATGGCCGAGAGTTCAAAGGTCTCCCGAGTTCTATCTAAGATTTTTTCCGAAAACTTATATAATAGATGTTACGTGCAATACGGACTCTTTTTCTGGTCCATTTCACGATAGGAATTATTCCGCCCACTACGCCTATTCCACTCGGTGTATAAGCTGGCCTCGATAAATGGGCTTCTTGTTTCGTCTAATAAAGCTAAATATTATCTCTTACACGAACCACCCAGATCGGCCAATAAATTAACTTCTGCCACTCTCTAGGAGGACCTAGGTTATCAGCCCTGTTGGAAATTATAGCTCCATCGCTGAAGACCGCGTTTGAATAAGCATAAATCATTCCCTACAAACCGAATAGTAACCAAAAGCTATGAACCTAAAGAGAATGACTTATTTTGGATCGAGCATATGTCAAATAAAAAAGTGCCAGGCTTTGCGCAACTCATTCAGAAAAACTGGATAGTCCAATCAAAATAGTTAGATCAAACGATCACAACCACATTCCACAGCGCCAGCTAGTCAAGCAGGCATATTGACAATGCAATACGAGAGCAAATTCATCACCAGTAGGAAAATCCAGCGACAAAGAGAATGGTCAGGTTTTAGAAAAGTACTGATAAATATAGAATGGCAATAAAGAACAGATTAGAAATAAAACAAAGTAATTAATCCAGCTCGCCAGTTAAAGAAAAAGCACACGGTCATGATAAAAATGCAACTGATGAACTTCATGCAGCTTAAAATTTGAAGGACCCTGAATATTTTGGAAAAATGCGGGGTTTCTCTACATCTATAGGATCAGTGTAAAGAAGTAGTAGCTAAGCAAAGCTTGGATGTGCTGATTTTGACGTTCTGTCAAGTCCAGGATTCAATAATTAGACGCTCAAGTTAACTATGGCACTATCTATGAGTTGGCTATGGAATTCGGACGACCTATTCTAGGTACTTCCTAGAAGCTGGAAACTTACGATGCTGAAGGCAAAAACACAGAAATAACCCACATTTAGAGATTTCTTGGAACTGAAGAATGCATTCAATCTTTAGTGCTACCGTAGGGACATTCCACATGTGCTACGGTGTACAAAGACCAACACACAGTGACATCTACATTATTACCCTCGCTGGCCGTCTGATTTCAAAGGAACATGAAACGTCCTAAAGAAATGGATGGGTGAATAACATATTTTCGGATAACTGCTCTGAATGGAGCATCTTTATGGGTATTAACGACTTCATATCAGACCGTGATTCTGCCTTCTTCTACGCCGCTGACAGCTGGTCAAGTAACAGCCCTATCATACTTTCACCGCGATTATCGAGTAAAGTAATATTTTTTCGATTTTGTAAGCTCTATCGAAAAACTGTACCAAATAATCCAAAATAACTTCATGTATAAAATGGTTTTGCGCGCGTCTAGCACCTGATAAAGCTTTCAGGCAATGCAGGGCCAAAAATAAATATATTTCAAGCAAGTAGACAAACAATTAATTAAAGTAAATGAATTGTGAACTGTGAGTCAACTGTGAATAGCAAGTGATCATATGACGCGTAAAAAGCCTTTGCCTTAATGCGACTTTTTAGGAAATGCATCATTGCTGATAAAGCTATCCGCAGCCGTGTGGAAGCAACACTTGCAGCCAGAATTGCAGGCATCTTGTACGTCATGCAAAATAATTCAAAATTATGATAATGATAAGGCAATTCGTTTTTTATGTGAATAATAATTCTCAGAATCTTTACCCACCGTTTTTTGAGCCCTCAAGGTAAATTACCCTGAAATCATGCATACAACGTCAGGGCAGCTCGATGCCCCTTTGATTTACCAATATTTTGTAAGTGCAGATTATCCAATACTTCAGAGCCGGTACCAATTACCAAGAGCAA